GCGGTGGCGGCGTCGCAAGGGCGAGGTGGTGGTGGGGGCAAGAGGGGAGGGGGAGACGCGTTGAACTCGGAACGGCGCGGCGCGGCGGTGCTCGAAAATCGAAGATCTCGAGCGGCGGATTTACTTTCCCCGGCGGCGAAAGAAAACCGCCGAGGAAGCGGCCCGCGGCCGGTTACGTTTCTCGCAGCAGCCGCTGTAATTACACCGTGTACAGCCGCGAAAATTTGCGGCTTCCTGCGATCCGTTGCTTCCATAAATTTACCGCCGGGGCTCCGGCTTATTGCGCCACTGACAACGGATCTCTCTTTGCCCGCGTCTCTTACCGCCGAACGAGAACGACGCCGCTGTTGCGCGAGCGCGCGCGCGCGCGCCACTCCGCGAATTTATTGCAAATTTATTGTCCCGGCGCGGACGCTTCCGAACAACAAATAACACGGTCGGTACACCGTTGCCTATTATTTCTGCAAACAAACGCGCGGCGATCGTTCACTTAGAGCGGCATCGAATTGCGAAGACTTTCTCGATTTAAAAATAATAATAGTAATAATAATAATATTAGGTTGGGGAATAAGTTCGTAGCGTTTTTATCAAAGACGATTTTTCTTCGTTGTTTTCGTTAAGCTCGTGAGGCAGCCAGGCTCCCAATTTTTCGGCAAATCACTTCGAATGAAGATGATTGAGAATCGTTTTATGATCGCAGTTCATTTTTTTTCGACCAATTCACGACTTGTTCGGTGACCGTCCTCCTTCAAAAGTGCTTTGAGACGCTCTTCGTCGAATTCGGAAGGTCTTCCGCCGCGGGGCGTGTCGTCGACGTTAAAGTCGCCATTTTTGAACTTCGCAAACCATTTCCGTGCTATAGACTCCACTATGACACCTTTTCCGTATACACGTTGCAAATGTCCCGGGCTGCTTCAACAGCTTTTTGGCCTCGATGAAAAGCGAAGAAGAGAAGGTGTCGAAAATGTTGCTTTTTACCTCCTGGATATTCCATTTCTAAGCCTCGAAAGTAACGAAAAATTAAATTACTCGAAGAGACGATTAGCGCAGTTTCGTAGAGCAGAAAGATCTCTATCGAACGAATATTAGACACTTTGTCGAACAGCAAAAGGTCGTTGTAAAATAAACGAAAATATAATACGATAGCGGAACTAATAATTTGTGAGAGAGGAATAAATCGATGAACAATAAACCTGGTCTCATCTTGGAGCTTGGATCTAGCGTGTGTTCGTTTTATTCGAAGAACGTTCTTGCCATAGGGATGAGAAACTGAAGACTATAATGGAATCGTTTATAAAAACTGTCATAGTCTTCGAGATTCCCCTTCGCAATGACACCCTAAAATTTCTTTAAAACACGATTTTGTTCGGTGATTATTATCGAGTTTGCAATGAAAGCCAGTGCATACCAGCAATTTTACGTCTATTGTTTGCTAACTGAACTAAATTGTTTTATTGATCTAGAAAATTATATATTGATTAAGAAAATATGAAAACGCTACGAACTTATTCCCCAACCTAATAATAATACGATAGCGGAACTAATCATTTGTGAGAGAGGAATAAATCGATAAACAATAAGCCTGGTCTCATCTTGGAGCTGGGATCTAGCGTGTGTTCGTTTTATTCGAAGATTGTTCCTTGCCATAGTTATATACGGGAAAAGAAACTGAAGACTATGATGGAAACGTTCGTTGAAACTGTCATAGTCTTCGAGATTCCCCTTCGCAATGATGGCCTAAAATTTGTTAGACGATTTTGTTCGCTGATTATTATCGAGTTTGCAATGAAAGCAGTATGTACTTGCAATTTTACGTCTATCGCGATACGTCCATTGTTTGCTAATTAAATTGTTTTATCGATTTACCTCGAGCCGGTGTCGTCGTCCGCTTCGCAAATTATTCTTCTGATCGTAATATCTTAGCCATCGAACGCGCGACGGCGTTCCGTGGAAATGCGAGGGATTATCGCGTCGCAGATCCGCTGCAAAGATCGCGTCATATTATTATAACCACGTTGCAACCGTATTACTGTAATATTGAACTTACGACGCGGACGTTACACGGCTGTTTACAGTTACTTTAGCAGCAAAACACGGTCGCGAATGTTAATTGGCGGCTCGCGCGTATTTAAGTAAGCGAAACCGCCAAATGGCGTCATCCGCGGCGAATGTGTTAAACACGTGGTTCCTGACGGTTCCGTTTGTATAATAACGGTTACGGTTCCCCGCTAATTGCCAATCTTCTCGTGCGACACAAAGGTTGCGGTTCGTTGCTTTCGCCGTATTTGTAAACGCTGATATTTTAATAATGTATGTTGTTATAATAATGAAATTCTGTGTCATGAAGATACGAATTCACTCGTTCTATTCGGCCGATTTAGAGAATAGAAATCGAATAAATAAACTTCGATTTTTGAACAGCGATGTTTCAATCAAAAAGTAAATTTGTATTCTTCCGATTTACTTTGAAAATCGAGCACGCGGAAACGAATTTGCGTAGAAAAATGTACGTCCGTGTTTTTTTATTACACCGAGATGTCGAGTTACGGATAAAGGGCAACGGTGGAGATTATTTTTATAATAATAAAAAGAGGGATGACCGGTTTCTAATTCTTTCTGTTAAAATTCCAGATGTTATAAAAATGTTTAATATATACATAACAAAAATATATATATATTAATTAATCAAATTTATTATATATATTTATCACGTATATATTAAACAATTTTATAATATCTGGAATTATATCCAGAAATTTATACATATAAATATATATATATATATATTTATACATATTATCCGAAATACATACATATAATGAATATTATATATAAATAATAGCGATAAATCGCTTTATTTAAACGCGTATCATAATAGCAGTATTATAAATTAATTATAAATTGTAATACATATATATATTATAATATATAGTATATATTAATATACTATATATATATATATATAGTTATAATAATATATAGTATAATATATAGTTAATATAATAATATATAATAATATAACTATAATATAATATATAGTATATAGTAATATAATTATATATTATAATATATTATAAATTAATTAAAAAAATAAGCATTAGTCGCGTTTAGATATGGTAGTTCCGGTGTCAAATATAGAGTATAATATTTCTTCAGATTCTCTTAGCCGTCGTATTAAAATCATTTCCGTGGACGATCTAACGTCAAAAACGACAATCCAGTTCGGCAAGATTGCTCGCAGTCACCTTTCGGTCAGAGGAAGCACAGAATAGACCCAGACCAGACCGGACCTTAAGGCAAGGTTCCGAACAATGAATCCCCGTTTCATTTCGACCGGGCTCCCCGATCTTTCCTTTTTCTTTTCTTTATTGCTCCCTTGGCTTACCAGCTCTCGCAGGTCAGGTCCTTCCGGTTTTCGTGTTGTCTACACCTGGACGAATTCCAGGGTTCCACCGAAGTCAGCTACTCAAGGCTTTCCTCCTTGCGGAGCCGAGCGGCGGAGGTCTGTCTTTTCGTCTTTCGTCTCGTGTCCCCATTGTTCCATCTTCGGTCCCAGTGGCTCTTTGATTTCGTGACCCGCAGTATTCGCCAGCATCTTCGAAACGTTTCCAAATGATCAATACCGACGACGCGACACAGTCAATTTCCTGCTTACTGAGTACTGTGGAAAGTTCGACGATTTTATACTGCACGCAAATTTATGCTGTATTCGAATATACTTTTTTACGTATATGTACTTTTCATGATATTATTATATATATACTATAATATATATTATATATATAATATATATATAATATATAATATATACTGATATATATTATATATATATAATATATATTTATATTATAGTATATATGTATTATAATTTATAATACTGCTATTATGATACGCGTTTAAATAAAGCGGTTCTTCAGGTATTTATTTTGTTTAAACATTCGAAAGAACGCGCGAATTAACAAGATCCAGTAGCATTTTTATTTTATTTTCACAGTCGAGAATCTTATAATCGACGCAGAGAAAACTCTTCTTCTGATTTTTATGAAATGAGAATTTGCATAAATATCTGCCGTCTATTTATAGGTACAGTAATGTCTCCCTAATTGGCGCTCAGATTGCGCACAAGAATGGACAATTTGGGAAGAGGTGATACGATTATTCAGGCCTTTTAGCTATTCATTTATTTATAGTTATCGACAATCGACAACCATAAAAACGAGCCTCGAATGTTTCTCTGTGTACAGTCTGACCGCCAGTTCGGGAGAATTTACTGTAACAGCAAAATTAGAAAAAGGTATAGTGGTTCCAACATTCGTCATTTAAACAAAAATTCGAGTCATTTAGTGCAGTTTTAAAAAATGTATCGGGTTTCAAAAGGCTATCGTTAATCTCGCGATAGACAGAGATACGAGGTAAAAGGTCTTTTACGTTACAAAATTGTAATTGTAATTTTTCCAAGAGTCGTTTACCTGGTCATTAATACATGATCGTTAATCTGTTCATTAATACTTGTAGAGACACTTGTCTGTGTCTGTTGCAACGGATTTTAATCTTGCTTGAAAATTTTGCAAGATCCGTTGTTCGATGGATGTAAAAGTACAAGAAGAAGATTTAAGTGTAAACAAATAAAATTAAATATTATTATATATTTATATAATATATAAATTATATTATTTATTATTTTATATATTATACATAAAAAATAATAATAATATATATTATATATAAAAAATAATAATAATATATATTATATATAAAAAATAATAATAATATATATTATATATAAAAAATAATAATAATATATATTATATTATATATAATGATATAATAATAATATAATATATATATATATAATATAATATAAATATATATATATATATTTTATATTAAATTTATTTATCAAAATTTTAAATAAAAATGCTAAATTAAGATAAATAAACAAATAAAATTCAATGTACGCTTGCTCGCGTGTAACCGTCTCAAACGATGCTGCGTTTCAGATGGAGACCGAGGTGCGAACGCTCAAGCAGGAGCTGGTTCGCACCCAGGAAACCTTGAAGACGGCCACGAAGAGGTGCCGCGACCTGGTGAAAGAGCTGGACAATCGCGCCGCGGGTCATGAGTCCGAGAGGAGCCTCCGGGACCAGCAACTCTCGCGGATACTTCGCGCCCTGCTCGTCCTCGAAGCGCGGCTCAAGCAGGAGCAGAAGTCGATTAGGCAACTGCTCTGCGAAAAGGACAACGTCATTAGGAATCAACAGCTGGAGATCGCGAGGCTCAGGCGTTACACGAAGAACTACATCAAGTGCAAACGCGAGCAGACGCTCGGCAAAACCACGATAAAGATGGAAACGGCGAACACCATCGATGAGTGCCATCTGCAATCGTCCAACGTCGAAGTAAATATTGATGATCGATTATTATTAGAGATGGTCTTTTATCATTCATCCAACGGTGTTGCTTCTTGAAGCGCGCCGTTTATTAAAAAAAAAAAAATGAAAGAAAGAAAAACATCAATGTTCGTTGCGTACGATATTAGAAAATTTCTGAATATTTTTGTCGTTACGACGTGCGCGTAACAACATGTTTATCATGTTTTATTAATAGGCCACATCGAAATGTCAAAAGTTGCAATATAGACGTAAATATGACATTTTGTATGATCCGGTGGCTGCTTCGTGAAATACCGTTTTTTAATCGAATTTCAAACGCAAACATTAAACGTGATTTCTACCGACTTGTAAAAACGTACGGATTACAAGTACACATATATCATAGCGTAACTTCATTCTCTGTAAACCTATTTATGTAACAGGATTCTCGACGACTGCACTCTGTGAAAGAGGATCTCCGAAATTATTCTCTAAATAATCAGATTAGTAGATGATTGCTTCAACAAGAGTACGCTTAAAATACGCTTAAAATATAAATGATAATAGTATAATAGTATATATATATATATATAATGATAATAGTATAGATAATAATAATAGTATAGATAATAATAATAATAGGATAATAGTGTATATATATAAAATAAATGATAGTAGTATACTACTACATTATACTACTGTACACTTATAAATTATAAATATATATATATATATATATATTAGTATCTGAATATCTAAATCCGAACGACTTAATTTTAGGCGGACCTCAGGCAGGACAACAGTATTAGCAAGGACATCCAGACGCTGAAATGCGAGATAATCACGAAGTTGAATTCGTCGGAAGTGCCTGTTACGCTCGAGGGCTTGGACAGAGGAGTGAAGAAGACCCACAGCTTCGCCGGCAGCGATATCTCGAAAACGAGTCTAACTAGTAGCGAGAACACGGACGTGTCCATTATCACGACCACCACGGAGGGCAGTCCTTCGCTGCTGAGCACAGAGGGTTTCTGCGAAGGCGAGAGCACGGACGTTTCTCCTGGCTCGACGCTGAACAAGTCCAGCAGATGTACACCGACCATGGTCACCGACAGCGAGAACGAGACCACGATGATTTTCGACGACAACGACGACGACGCGGACGCCATGATCACGGAGAAAGGCTCGAAATTGCCCAAGAAGAAGATAGGTATAAGTAGATTAAAGCATCCGAAAGCTTGCAAAGAGTCGGAGGTGATAGAGGCTACGAGCATCGCGAGGACCGAGAGCAAGGACGACGGGATGGACTGCAATTTCGCCTCGGAGGACGAGGAGAAGGAACCGGAGCCCATTTATGTGAACGCTTGCAACGAGACCGAGGCAACTAGGAACTTGGAGCAAACCGAGACCGTGCCGGAGCCGCTGAAAGCGACTGAGGATTATAGTAATAATAACAGCAACGACGAGGGTGGTAATAACAACGCCAATGAGAATAGCATGTGAGTATTCGTGTACGAGCAATTGTTGTTGGACGCTTTGTTGAGAATGGGACTTCGAAGAATGTTTACTTAAATATGTCAGGATTGTAAACGAACCATGTACTTAGCCAACTTAAAAGTTTCGATAGTTATAATTAAGTATTTTTGCTGATAATATGAATTGATATAAATATAAATTGTATTGTGAATTGTGTGAGAAATAATTGAATGAGCTTCGGTTGACTTACAATAACGGGAAGAGTAAAATAGAATGGCAATTGTGTAATAATGTCCAATAAATCATGTTCAACGGATGTTAATATTTTCGCATATTTTTCAGAGCCCAAAAAATGGAGATCGAAGAACAAAACACGGAAGAAACCAGCGGGAACTGGTACAGCGATCCGGACGAGGACAGGATCAACGACGACGTTTTTAGGCACAGCACGTATCGACCAAATAGCAACCACAATTCCGTCTTGGAATGCGTGAACCAGATTCTTTTGAGAGATATGGAGGAAGAGGAAAGCATACTCTCCGTGCCTAGAAGATTCAAGCATCGGGGAAGAATCGTCCGGTTTCAGCCGGCAAGATTGTCCGACATCGAGTCGGTGGGTTCTGAGATGGAGAGGAAGAATTCCGAGGAACCTAACACGGAACAAGAGGTACCGGCTTCCGAGTTTCACGATGTTCCTGCAAACAGTTTCGAGCCGTCTGCCACGGAAGATGAGTTTGGGATGAGCCTTGCCCAAACTGTTCCTACGAACGTTGCTGCGAATATCGCCAGTCACGAGTCAAGCTTGGAAGACGAATCGGAGGAATCGAAAGCCATTCCTATCGTAATAATAGAGCCAAAGGTAGAAGTCGAGGAGGCGAGGAGTACGTTTCCTTGCTCGCAGGTGCAGAAAGCGAAAGGAGCTAACGCGACGAGTCCTCCGTTGAAATTGGAAATGATCGAGGAGAAGGCCTGCCTGCAGATTTCTTCGAAAGGATTGACCATAGCGAAGAACCTCGACTACGAGGACATCGAGTCTCTGCCGGAAATAATATCGCCTCCTCCGAAAACGCCACCAGCGTTGCCGCCTAAGCCGCAATTCAAAAACAACACGTTGATCCTGAAGAAGATCCCTAGTCCCTCGTTTCTGATCGACGAGACACGGAAGAAGCAACCGTTGCTCGAATCTGGTTCCTCCGAGCACAGCAAAAAGATCTTCGGCTTCATATCCTCGCCGTTGAAATCGGCCGGGATAAATATAACTTCCGCGCGAAGTTTGAACTTCGACGACGCCATCAATAAAGCCACGGGAACGAACGAGGAAGGGAATTTTTGGAAGAATCGATTCAATAACGTTCGTTCCTCGTTCCAGACGCGACAGAACAGCCTCGAAGCTAGCGGAGAGCAAGCTAGGAAGGTGCCTAGGGTGACCAACATCGTGCGCCATTTCGAAGAGTTCAAGATCGGCGGCGAGTCCGACGAGCAAACGAAGGAAAGAAATAAAACGAAGGAGAAGCACGTCCACGCCGAGTTCGATCAAGAATTCGACATCCGGCAGAATTTTGAAGAGTTCAATCTTGACGAGTGCAATTTGTCCGATGATCCGGACAGGCCGGAAGGCGACGGTTCAGAGAGACTTGGCAATCTTGGGGCCACGGTTAGTCAGAACGAAAAGAACGGCACAACCAAAGACAATAATAATGTTCCTGTTACTACGACGAGCAATTTGAGCAGCGGTTACGATCACTTTCTAGAAGCAACGGGTCTGAGCAATAAATCGATATTGACGCCTTCAAGGTTGTTGAGTAACCACAAAAGTATGCTGAAACCGAAAGACGTGAAATACAAGAATAAAATTAAAGCAACCGCTGTATTAGAGAAGCATGGTGTTTCGACTACCAGCAATACAACTCACGTGAGACATTGGACTGGACCGTTCGTCTGACGACTGGCCCAAGTTTTCCCAACAAACCTATTTCGACAAGAACCTTGTGATGATGGGAGATAATTGATTTATTTCGAATAATTACGCTCCCATGCTATTTGCTAGAGGTGAGAACAGATAAGAATCGCAGACTGTGCTGTGGGAATACAGTTTATTCATAAATCGAATATAAAATATAATACTGTAAATTGTTATAAATATTCCTCTTACGATACAATGCCTTTTCACATCTTTCTTGTTACGCGGAACGATGCGAGAGACATTGGAATTAATTTATTTATAGCAGCTTCCATTCGAAAAGTATTCCGATGTGTTGTATATTTTAATAAGATATTTCTTACATATTTATATAACATTACTAATGAGAGTAGTGAATGGAACCTATGTATTTACGTATTTTAACTTCGATTTTCTTGCTGTGAAATCGCGGATAAAGCCGTTTATCGCGAACTGTGAATACTTTTATTGCGGGAACATTTTTCGTTCTGTTGTTTTCTGTCATAGAAAATTCAGACTTAAAATAATCAAGTTATGAAAATTATATGATTATCACACGATCGTATGTAATTGTGAAGTAAAACTACGAATGAATGAAATCTGTGAGATATATTAAATGTTTGCATTTAAACGAGTCTATGACACTGTAATTAACCCGTAATTACATTGTTGTTACATAAAATGTATTATGTTCAGCTAGAAATTAATGATCGAACTACAAACGATAGTTGGAATTCGATGTGTATATAAAAATATAAAATTTTTCCTATTACTATTTCGTCTCTGGAGCATCTAATTACGGGTGAACTTTTGTTTCTCAGTGTAAAACAATATAGAAACGAACTATATATGCACTATACAAGCATGGAAGTGCTATTACCTTACTAATTGTATGTATCGCTACAAGTCAACATGAGGATAAAAATAAGAATGTACTTGTTTTCTTTTTTTTGTTGGAAATAAAATTAGAGATGACTTTATTGAAAGAATTTTGCATTTGATTAAGAAATAGGAGTACATCAGTACAATGTTAAATATTCTGTAATGATTTATAAACAACTAGAACGTATGATACAATTATATATAACTTCTACTATCTATAAAAATACAACGCAACTCTATAAAAATACAATGCTAACTGTCACTGGTATCAAAATCTAAATAGGACATGGAAGAAAAAAGTATATCGGAAAATGGACATTATTAAATCCGAACATTATCTCACCGATACATATTAGAAAGGATTCCATTTTCACGGGTTAGTAATCACTCGTTCAGGCACTCTATTACACTTGGCTAGAGCTATATTATCAATACAAATGTATAGATATAGCTGTAAAAATTGCATGAAGAATCACACAATTAGTTTGGCACAGTGGCTTCTTCAAGTTTCTCTTTCCACGCGGAAATCATAAAAGAACTGAAAGCAAAAATGTATATATATATATATATATATAATATCAGTGTTATTATACTGTGTTGTGTTAAAAATACTAATTAAATCTTCATTTTACCTCCTTGTCCAAGTCTTTCTGAGACCAGACTCTGATCACAGGAATTTTAGTCTGTAAATGACGTCATTGATAAAAATAAGTTCAAGTTCATTTATAACTCGTCTATAAATATTACTTACAATAGAGGAATCAGATTGTACGCTAAGACGCGGATTAAGGACAAATGGCACCCCATCTAAATCTGAAGACCCTGGCAGTGTACCATAAATCGATGTAGTTCCTACAGCTGATGTTGTAGGTGGCTGTGGGGCTGGTCTTGTGGGCCTGATTCTTGCGCTAGGACTTAAAACTTCATAATCTCTGTCGGTAGATTCGTCTACTTCCTTTCCCGCACTTCCTCCAATTTGTGGATAAATTCCGTTTGTTGGTTTTGGTGAGAACTTTGGTTTTGGTGGCCTTTCAGGAGCTACTCTATGTGGCGTTCCATTCGATGGATTAGGAGATGCATTTTGAAGTAAACTAATTAACAAAATATTAAGCATTGAATACTGATCCATAACTGTACATTAAACCTGTTGTTTTTTTTTTTTAATGAATGAACGCTTACTCTATATTAACATACGATTGTGAGCTGGAATTCCCATTTGCAATATCCACAGTTTTGTAGCAAACACAAACTCCGTTTATGACACTGCAAAATTGATACTTCAAATTCAACCAAGAAATAAATATGTATTAAATTCATAGATGATAAGAAATCTTGATACTTACCCAGCAGCTACAAAACCATTTGGAGCCATTTTAGATTGATATACCTTATGCATAACCCTACTACATATAATAATGTCTGTAACTGCTCTCGAGCATAATTCCTTATTCCTAACTTTATAGCACAGCTGTTTCTTTCTCCATGCCTTCTGCACTAAAATCGATTGTTAAAATGTACTAGACAAAAATGCTATTCCAATAAACAATATCTTGATCAGTCTTACGTATGCTCACTTGAATCTACAGTATATGCGATCATGCTGAATCCCTCGGGTGGGGTGTCTCGCTCATTGATGACTGCTAAATCTTCTACCACGCAATGAGGAAAACCTTCAGACTTTGAGAAACATATATACCTCCCTTTTTTCTTAATAAATAGCCCACTTTCCCTCCATAAATCAGCGTCTGTATCTTGATCATATGTTCTAGATACCTATGTTGTAAAAAAAAAGAAAAAAAGATAATAAAAGTCTTTATAACGATAATATAAAACAAAATGAAATCAAAATACGTACATGGAAAAAATGTTGCATTACTTACCACTGTAAAATTTGGCGGACACTTATCTATATCTTCAACAACGCTTATGGCAGTAATTGGCCTGTCATCAGGTAGCACGGATGATAATTGATGAACCAACATTTTGTTGCAATTAGTCTTCTTAGACATTGCTGCAACTCTGTTGAAAACACATTCGCACGGTTATTATCATTGCCTGTTGGATACAGTTGATCATGTGAGATTTAAGGTAAGATAATAGCTGAAAGTATTTTATCTAATCATTAGATGAAACGCCTATTAATCGAAAGTAATATATAATAATCGGACATTCCGAAACACAGGCTTTCCGATAAAAATACCGTGCAACGTCGATGTTATCAAAATAAATTGACAGTAAATTCACGCACTTCGAATCATCAAAGTTCACTGAACACTGGACGGGTCTACCCCTACTTTATCTCGATGACCTATTTTTCGATCGATAAACAAATTTATGGTGGATACATAAAACACGTTCGTTCGGAAACACTTTGGTACTTTACTAAACCGTACACACCCGTTCTGAAACACAACGAAAATAACTTCGGACGTATACAAATTCAACCGTGCAAAATATTTAAGCGATCCAGTTTGAAAACGTTAGCAATGTTGCTTAAAAAAAAAAAGTGCTTACTTCAACATTCCACAGAGTCATCCATAATTTCCGGGAGCCTAGCTATTTGGCTTACCTTCATAAATGGCACGCGATACGAATTTACGAGTTCGGCATTATTAGCTCCTTCGTTTATCGTGCTGCTAATTTCGTTCGACAATTAGATAAAACCTAGCGACACGTCGGTCAGATTTCGATCGAGCCGCGAAGGACCCGTGTAAGTGCCACGCCACGCAATCTTATTCTTTGAAACACTCATTCGTAACAAAGTGAAGGTACTCTAATGCTTATGAATAAACAGAGAAGAGGGAAAGAACTACCGAGCGAGGAGAGAAAGAAGGCGGAGGAGGGAGTATCAGAGAGAACGGTAATACAGAACGGGAGGAATACAAATACAGGACGCTTCATATACGGTGTTGCATACATTTTCTTTGGAACCGTCATCAATTACCAACGTTTCATTTTCCGATTACAAAGCGCTTCCGAGTTTCTCGCACCGTTTATTACTTCACAATCCACGAGGAACTATGATTATATCGTTACACACATTGAATTCAAATCGTTTGTCAAATCAAACCGCGCTTGTTTGACAACGAAAGTATGATTCGTGCAATTTAGGTTCAGGGCACATAATACGTAAATCTTTCTGGTTAGGCTACTTACAACCTACGGAATTTAGTTGTCATTCTACCGCGTAAAGAAAAAAAAACGAAATGTATTATCACTGTCACCTGAATACGGTCCAACTGCGAAACGTATAATAGGGTAGGTCTCTATCCCTCTCTGTGCGCCTCGAAATGTAAGAATAGAAATTTATCTTCGATAGCATTCAAAGAAAATCACTTGTGTAACACTCTATATGAACCACCATGTATATAGATATATATATATGTAAGTTATCAATTGTTCTCGTATAAGCAATTTCATATTGACGTACAGCTGTGCGATATTCAACCCGAAACCGATAAGATAAAGTATTCGAGTATGAAAACACTGTTACTCATATGAATCGCTTTTCTTCTTCTGCTTCTTCGTTAAATGTTCCAACTAAATTGATATCAATGACATCACTTGTACCACCACCACTAGCCACCACCATCGCCACCACCGTGTAATGACTACCATCTTAACTGACTAGGGTAGTGTGTTCAATAAGCTAACCTCTGTTTCCGTTCCCTTCGCACCGTAAAACTATGTTATGTACGGCGTTTTATACTTCGTCGATCCTGCACGAATCCCTGCGGCCGGATGTTCGCTTGGTAGTACACGGTCAAATCGAGGCCTGTCGCCGGTTAGTCCAACGTTTTCCAAGCGATAAGAAAATGAAGGAGTATCGTACGCCACCCCTCCATCACATTCTTACCGCGAAGCAAGTGTTTATAAATGATTTTTAACGCGATTCAGGCGCACGGGCGTCGTAACACTTTCCCCGATCGTGGCCATGACACTCGAGTTTGATCCTGAGACCGAAGAAACAGCATGGCGACTTTTGTTTATGTTTCAACAATTCTCGCTGAAATCTATTCTCGCTTCAAATTTGCCCGCTTTACCGTGCCGGAGCTTGCCGAATTGAATTTCTGACATCAAAACAATGTATTCTCACGAAGCGAAATCGGAGGATGCATCGTATGACACATAGCGGATGTGTCACAATGTTTTGCACTTCGGTTCTACTCTCTGTCTCTCGCGTGTAAACCCAGGCATGTTGACCTACGACGAATTACGATGCGTTATAGAGAAGCAATTTTAGGGGAATAACGCACCGTATTGCAATTTCGGAACGAGTAAAAACTTTGATTTGAAATGTGTTACAATGTGATATTTACCGTCACTTTGTAAGCAGTCGTTTAAGTGTTCAGAGTCATTGATTAAGATATTAATAATAATCGCTAATAAGTATTAATTAAATAATTACAAAAGATGCTTAATATAATAATTAAACATTTGGTAGGACAATCAATTTGGCGCGAAGTATTGGGTGGTGCTGTACGGTAATTCTGTAAGGTATAAAGGTACCTTACGTTCGCCATGAGATGGCAGCATTGTGCACTTTAAATGATCATTCCAAAAACCACGGAGATTTATGTAATTCAATCGGTGCTATGCGAAGACTGTTAATGTACATGTATAATCAAATAAGAAAGTTATAATAACTAATCATTTTATGTGAACATAATTGTAATGATATTTTATGTAAATTTCGTGTATATTTGATTCTTTGTAATAGTTTAACTTCGTTCTTTGGTCACTAGGTGATTATAGCGTTTTTGCCTGCACAGAAATCTTTTTCTCGAACTCTCATTAAAACATGACAATTACATGATTCTATAACTATAAATAAGTCGTTGCATAAATATATGTTAAATAATTTAAATATAACAAAATTGATTTACATTTATGATTATTGAGAATTTTTCATTTCTGTGACAGTTTAGTTCGCGAGTCTTTTTGATAGGAGGCGCTGTTAGTATTTCATCGTACTTCATTTGCTTACATTATACTTTATTAAATATTTGATTATCTATATCTTAACGATTTTTATATTGCTGCTATCAATGTAACATTAATTGTGGAGTATCTCTTTAAAGCACCACTTTTTTATGTGTGATTAATTTTTAACAACCGAAGTTGGTTTACAGATTATCTAAAAATTTCGTAAAGATAATTAATCTCGCATGGAATATTCTCTACTATCTAAAGTAAGGATAACTGCACCCAAGTACATATTTTCAACTTTCTATCTTGTATAAAACAATCTAAAGATTGCGAGTGGCACAGAGGGCTCTGTATGACGGCGTTGTTCAGTGTGCCAGTGCATGTTGTGGCTCCTCGCATTCACAGCATAAAATCGGATGCAATTGGAAGTTCGACCTTACAACAAAAGTGTAAGTAGCAGTTATCGGAGATTATTAATTGCATACCTCTATAAGTACATGTATTTATTTATCGGTTTTTGACTTTACGTGATGTAAAATAGCAATGATTTTATTGAAATCGTAGTTACAAATAGTAATGAGCATGCTTCTGAAATACAGGTTCTAACTACAAAGGATAGATGCTCAACAATATAGAAAATTATAAGACACCGTGTGCAAGCAGAGTAAATAAAAACAGTCGTTTCATGTAATGTAG